ACACACACACACACACACACACACACACACACACACACACACACACACACACACACACACACACACACACACACACATCTATATATCTTCAAAAACATTGTTTTTAACTGAATCTGTGAAAAAAATTGCCATATTGAGACAATTGTTTTGCTACAAGTAATCATTAACATTTAGAGAGGACTTCCATAAAGAGGTAAAACAGTGTCTACAGCTACTACGACTACATGGTGGAGGCTCTGTCATGGTTTGGAGCTGCATGCCAACAAGTAGTGCTGCAGATCTTGTCAAAATGAATGGAATTACACCGGGAAAATATCTCAAACACACTGCCAATACAATATAAAGGTGGTTATACCAAATATTGACTTTCACGCTTGTTAGAATTGTACAAACTCTATTTTTGTGTCGTCTACTGTATGACCATATATGTTCGTACATGATTTCAATAAATCACTGCACCCATTTCCCATAAAGAAATGAGGCGTGGCTCGAGACTCACAGTATTCCACAGAGGCCTTATGTTTGCTTTCTCCTGCCTCCTCTCTTCCTCAGTAAAACCCTTGCCTATATTTCCTTCCAGCTTACTCTGTTAAGCCTCCTCTCTCACACAAGTCTGTGCTCGCATACAACTATCCCCCCTTCCAGTCATCTCCCAAATTGTTTTCTTGTCCTCTTCCCTTTTGCTTTCTCTTCTTTTCCCTTAGTTTCTCCCACCGTCTTCCTATCCCTCGTCAGTCCACCTTTGTCTTACCGAGCACGCCCATCAGTCATCCCTATCTGTATCATGCCATCTCCATTCAGTATCGAATGAGAGGGAGAGACAAGGAAAGAGAGATGCTGCGTCAGCATGAGGACACAGACAGCGAGAGCCAGCATGTTAGGGAGGAGGAAAATATATGGAGAGTTAAAATGAAAGAGAGGGAGAGTAAAAAAAAGGAGAGAGAAAGAAAGAAATTGTCCTGTGGGCACAGACATGATTGAAAGGAGTGAGTGGTGGGGAATAAAAGGGAGAGAAGGAGGCAGGGCATATTAGGGGGAGGGAAACAACAACATGGTTGGGGGTGGGGGGGTTGGGGGCAGAGACTAAGAGTGCAGGACAGGAATACAGCAAAAGAATAACAAAGGGGTGTGAGAGTATTGCAGTATTTCGTTTCTGTATGCCCTTTTGGAACTAGGTTAGTGGCAGAAATCACACTTACTAACACACACACACACACACATACTGTACTGTACATACACAGATGCACAGTGGCATACAATACTGTGAAAAATAATTGGCGCCAAATGAGCACATGTGCAGATTAGATCATTGTAATTATTTGAAAGCACACACAGTGTTGCTATCACAATACCTAAACACTTCTGCCCCTCCCTCCACTGATCTAATCTTTTCCATACTGACATTCAAGCACACATGATGATGCATGGACACACATACACCAACACTAGACGTCACTTCACTACGCTATTTTTGTCTGCCAGTGGA